TTCATCTTAAAGGTTACAAGCAAAACAAAAGCATCTGGGATTAGAACAGAGTAGTCCATTAGCCATAAGAAATAAACAGAAATAGCCCTAATCGCATCTTTCTAAACATTCCTGATCTATTTACATATTTGGGAGTTCCAGATAAGTAGTTCTAGGTATTATCTAATGATTTATGATCATTCCTGGCTTAAAGCTGCTTACAGCATTGCTGCTCTGTGTCCCTGCAGCCCAGAGAGAACAACAGACAAAGGGGCTTCCCCCTCATTTTAAAAAGTTCTAGTTCTCCCATTGGCTCTTTTGGTCAGATGCCCACTCCTTTTCTTTTATGTGTGGGCTTGTTAACCCTTTACAGGTAAAGTAAGTAGAGAGCAGCTACTAAAAGGAATTTTATAGCTAATTGGCCAGTTGGGTGTCCCCAACTACCCCCCTTCATTTATCACAGCATCTTTGCTATTTTGTTTCCTTTTGTAACCACCTCTATATTCTATATGCCAATACCACTTAATCACTTACAGTCTATCTTTCTCTAGTTAATACATTTATTTTGATGTTTAGACAAACTCACTGGTTCAGATTAAAGTGTCTGGGCAATTTTCTCCGATTATGGGAGCGCCAGGCGGAAGGGTTGGGGTGCGGGAGCCCCGCCGCCCCCATTTTTCTGCCCCCATTTTCTAACTGGCTGGGGCCAATGAACACGGCCCCTTTGGTCCAGCGGCTAATCTGCCCCTGCGGCTTGCACCCCGGGGCATGACACAGCCAGGGGAGGGCTGTTATTTCCTGCAGGCAGGGTGTATTTCGAAGGGGTGGCTCCCGAGGCCGGGGCTGTGCAGGGATTAGTGACTGAGGGCTCATGCTGATGGTTGTTTCTTTCGCGTTCATCAGCTCGGGTGCGCTGATGGTCACGGAGCGGTGACGCGCTTGCCAGGGCTGGCGCCAGAGCGCACAGAGCTCGAGGCTTTTCATCACTCGCCGCTGCCCTGCGTCTCAAGCCCAGGGGCGTGGCTGGGGGGGGGGCACAGGGTGGGAGGAGCCTGACTGGCTGGGCCGGGCCAAAGAGCGCAGACACACACCCCGGCGCGCGTCCCTGCCCCTCGAGTGCACGCGCTGCGGAGCCGGCGGGTGCGCGCAGAGGGACGCTGCAAGACTTGGGAAAAGGGGCGGCGGCCGCAGAGGTGAGTGGGTAGCGAGTGCGCGCCTGGGGAGGGGGCGAGGGGCTTCTGGTCCTTCACTGCCGAGGGCTGTGGCCCGCCCCCTAGCCCGAGAGTAGCGGGTGCTCATGGCCTGCCGCGTCCGGGCTTGTTTACTGGAAACCTAGGCAACGGGCGGGGTGAGGCCCGCCCCCGTGCGCGGGGCGCTGCCCCTTCAGGACGCCCCGGAGGCCCAGTTGCGGGGTTCCCGGGCTGCGGGCATCGCCGGCAGAGACACCTCGCTGCCGAGCCCAGCGGCTGCCGGCCTGGCTGGCCCTGGCTTAGCCAGGACAGTCCTCCCCCCTTCCCTGCCCCAAAACTCGGGTGTGGAACAAAAAACCGGGTTCTTGTTATTTTCCATCTGGTTTGTGAGCCTGTAGGGTGCTCTTGATTCAGGTTTCCAAGCGTTTCTCTGCAGCCACGGGGGTTAGAAACTTATAAAACAAAACAAAAAATGGAGCTGCTCATGTAATTGCTTGGCTGCAGGAGCTTTAAGAAAAACACCAAATACTGAGCTTTAGGATGAAATCACACTAGCTGGCAGTACTGTGAACAGGATGGGTCACTGGATAGGGCTGTCCCAGGAAGTCCACAGCCAGAGAGCTTCAATATCGTGTTTGCACTTCTAACAGCCTGTTCCAGAGAAATCAAAACTAAGGGTGAGAGGATTTCAGTCCCTATCCCTTTTCATCCTGTTACCTTTTGTTTGAGACTACTGACAAGACTGAAAAAGTGGGCAAGGTAATATCTTTTATCGGACCTGCTTCTGTTGGTGAGGGAGAGAAGCTTGTGAACCACACCAGAGCTCTTCTTCAGATTTGGGAAAGGTACCCTGAGCATCAAACGCAAGGTGGATCAGATTATTTAACATAAGTAGTTAGCACATATTCTAAGGGACCACTAATGGGCCACTCTACCTTGAATGGTCCCCTTAGAATATGTGCTAAGTACTTATGCTAAACAATTTGTTCCACCTTATGGCAGTGTTTCTGTGAGATGGATACTTGTCCACAAGGAAATGGAGATGGTTAACTTGTGAGCTTTATACTTCCCAAGATTTTTCCAACTGTAAAAGTTTATCTTTTATCTTTTAATATCTTTTCTGTGCGGTGGTTAAATCATTGTAAACACATAGTATTAAATATTTTGACTAAATATAAAAATACTATTTTAAAAATCTGATTACATTAATTTGTGAATACTAATAATGAATATGCACTAGTTTGACTGCATTTTCCCTGTTATGATTATGAAAATCTCCTTACATTTTAAATGAAATGTTTGAGGTTATGTGAAGATAGATGCATTTTCACTTTAAATAACAAATAGGCCCATCGCCTTCACTGGGGAGCAGAGAATGCTTGAAACTAACATCTGTTGAGTATATCTGAACACAGGGCCAACTTTTACTCACGCATAATTTAGAACATACACCATGGGGCGTCGGGTTTCTGGGAATCTTGAAGTTGGGAGGGAAATTGCCTGCAGGTGCAGAACTGTCCAGGATAGGGGAGGAAACTTTGCAGAGGGGGTGGTGTGTGGCATGAAGGGAGGGTTTGGAGCTATTAGGGATACAGTAGCTGGGAACCAGAAGGATTCTTAGGGTATGGCAAAAGTTCTGGTCTGGCTAAAACTATGTAGGATGTAAGTCAGGAGTGGGGAGGGTTGACGCATCTAGTACAAATTGCAAATGCTAGAGCAGGGGTAGGCAACCTATGGCACGCGTGCCGAAGGTGGCACATGAACTGATTTTCAGTTGCCAACCCCTGTGCTAGAGTTAAGAAAGGACTAGGGGGAGCCTGAAGCAAAGAGAAAACTAGTGTTTCCAGGGAGTGAAGCTTGGAGCTAAGACAGAAGCCTGGAACTGCTTCCAGCAAAAGATAACACTGGCAAGGGAAGATTGAAGTCAGGAGTTACTGTGAAGATGGGCATCCAATGCAATATTGATAGGGCCCTACCAAATTCATGGTCCATTTTGATCAATTTCATGGCCAGAGGGTTTTAAAATTGGTCAGTTTCACCTTTTCAGATGTTTACACCTGAGATTTCATGGTGTTGTAACTGCCGGGATCCCAACCCAAAAGGTACCTGGAGGTGAGTCTGATCCACGCACCCCTCTGTCCCCCCAGCAGCTGTGCAGGTGAAGAGGCAGTTCTGAGTGCTGTCCCTCCCCAGCCCTGTGGGATTGGCAGCTAGGAGCCCCTGACTGTGGCGCTCCCAGCAGCAAGGGGCAGATGGGACACACTTCCACAAGCCTCTTCCGGCTGCAGGAACCTCCGGGGTTGCTGCCCAGCTCCAGAGCTTCCTGCAGCCCCGACAGTAGCTGTGCAGGGGAAGAACAAGTCCTGTCCCTCCCCAGCTCGGCCGGGACTTGCAGCTATGAGCCCCTGGCTGGGGCATTCCCAGCAGCATGGGGGAGATCAGATTTCATGGGGGAAGGGCTTATTTCACAGTCCGTGACATGTTTTTCATGGCCGTGAAATTGGTAGGGCCCTAATCATTGAATAAAAACTCCCAGGTTGGGAGTTTTAGGTACATACCCTGTAATTTAATTATTTGTATTTATAATAGTAATTATATAGAAAACATATGGTTTTCATATAGTCTTTTTTATTTACAGTTTATTGTGAAGTCCACAGTCAAATTTGCATGGATTTGGAGGTTAAAGGAGTTGCTGCATCTCCTAGACGGCAAGCTGAGCTGTCATCAAGGGGGAAGAAACTTAGTCAAGTATGTTTAATGGAAAGATTAATGTTTCTATTTTGATTTACAAATATTTTCAGGTGTGTTTTTTATTTCACAGACCATTTAGCTCCATCTTATGTTCAGGATTTTAAAATAGTATAGTTTATAGTAAAAGTTTATAGTATTAAGGTTACTGCAATATAAAAGAACTTGCAGGCTAATTACTGAAAGTAAATAAATTGTCTTGGTGAGTATGAATACAGTCTTGGATAATGGTAGTCATTAGTTTGACTGCGACTGGTCTGAACATTAATACTTTCTGAATTATGCACTGTAGATATTTCCTTTTTTGTTTAATAAGTATTGTGCCCTTTAGGTTTATAGATTAAAAATAGTTAACTGATTATTGATTAGCGTTTGCTTTTCTTCTAGTCCAAATACTTCCATTTAACTTCCCTCTTGTTGCTAGGTGACCACATTAGGGAGTCCAGGACTGAGACCTGTCAACTATGGCAGACTGCCTTTCTCCTACCTGACAAGATGTCTTTCTGTATTCCACTATCAGATGTGTTCTGTAATAGCATCCTCCAGCCAGTAGTCCTGGAGAATGCTGTTTTGTACCCCAATCATTCAGTAGGGGCCTCTGTGGTGTGTTGCAGAAAGGAGCATTCCTATGTTTTCCTGATCTCCCCAAGAGTTCAGAATGTAACCATTGTAATACTTCTGCCTTCTGTAATAGAAAACAGTCATAAAACAAGATTCAAATTCTGTTCTCCAAGAGTATGTCTACAGTGCAGTTAAACACCTGTGGCTGGCCCATGTCAACTGACTTGGGCTGTGGGGCTGTACAATTGCAGTGCAGACATTCAGGCTTTCTGGGAATTTGTGCGGGAGGAGTGTCCCAGAGTTCAGGCTCCAGCCCAAGCCCAAACATCTATACCACAATTTTACAACCCTCAAAAGACAGAACTATGTCTTTAAATCATGATTTAATTATTATGCTGACATTTTTGTAGGGATGGAAACCAAATATACAAGCAACTCATGGCCTTCGTCCAGCTGAGTAAGTCTATTCTTCCTACTTATGTACTGTCTGTTTCATTCTGTATTAAGTAACTTTGGTAAATTTCCTTATTTCATTGTCTTTATGCTGATGTATAAATCAAGGAGTTAGGTGGAATTTATCACCATAAACTTGTTGGCTATGCTTTATACTTAAAGAGGAATTTAATTGTTTTCCTTAAAATGATACTTTTAAAAGTCACACTTATTTGTATAAATTTCACTTTAGTAAAGTAGTTTTTTTTTAAAATGTACATTGAGATTAATTGGAATCTGGTGCCGTCAGTAGTGATTACTCATTAACATTTTTGCTTTCTTTCAAATATGTAAAAGTTGGATGGTTGAGCTTTACTTTTTTAGTTACTATCTAAGCTCATGGCAGTTATTTCTAATTGTAAACAAGCTATCTTTTATACTTGTTACCATTATGAAAGGGGGTAGGAGAGAAGAATTGCTGCTCCTTACAGATATTTCATTGTAAATACAGAGAAATTGTCATATGAGAGTATTTTAAAAAGTGATTTTAAATCTGCTTTGTATAGTACTTCCAAAATTGGGGATTCTGAGGCCTGGGAATAGGTATATTAACATCATCTATTATCAGTGCCATATTTGAGACTGAACTGCCTTATTTTAAAAAAGCTTTATGGTCATTTTAGCTCTCCATAAGATTCTGCCAGTATGTATCAAACATGACCTTGGAATGTCTATGGCTGAATAAAGGGATAGTTCAATCTCTGTGTGTATTCAGTCATTCTCCTCTGACTGGATGGGCCTGGAGAGTCAGCATGTCTTCCAGTTCTAGAAGAGACTCTGTTATAACAGAGTTTTGAAAAATGTTAGTAGCGAAGTGAGAGAAAATATGTACTACTGATGCTCAGACTATACTTGGGTTGTTGTTAGAAGGCTTACAGTATTTGAAACTGAAATCTGGCATCTTTCACACGTACTGTTTTTAAGTGCACATTCCAAGTCTTAGTGTGACTGGTAGTTTTGTACTGTATTGGTAATATAGACAATTTAATCAAGCCTTTAATTAGCCAACACTCGTCTGTTTTGCTAAAATAGAGTTAAATACCAGCAGCCGTACACAGGGGAATTTAGTTACAGTATAACTCCCCTTTTAGAGTACGTCTAAGCTGCACTCTCTTTGCGGTGGCCTGTAGGATACATACATTGCAAGTCCCGCTAGCATGGGTGTAAATAGTAGTGTATGTGGTGAGGCACTGCTTAGTGGAGTAAAGATCCCCGTGAATCCTTAGAATATGTACTCTACACAGCTCAGAACATGACCCTCCCCCTCCCACTGTTTTTGTCTTGCTGCCTCCCTGCTGCCAGTCTTTCCCTGCTGCAGGGAGCTGTGGGGAAAGCTCTGGCAGGGTGTGACAGCGGGAGCCTTTCCCCACTGCATCCCCCACTGATGCATGTGGCTATGCACCAAAGTGTGAATGCAGCTCACTTTTTTTCTGTGGCATATAACTATCCATACTCTATATGCGCACACCACCAGTGGTGTGCAATATAAACATAGCCTAGCGTCTGATCCAGCTCCCACTGAAAGTTAGAGGGCGTTGGATTGAACCCAAAGGACACAATCCAGAAAGACGCTGAATGCATCTTCGTTAGTGCTGGGTATCTTCAACTCCAGTTTACTTTAGAGGGTGGTAAGGACACTCATCACTTAGTGGGATTGGGACTAAAATGAAGTAAAAGTACAGAATTGCTTTAATGAATTTCAATTGACTTTTTAATTTCTTTAAGCTGAATGAAGAGTCGCTATTGGTATGTAATTGTAGTATAGTTGGGACTGTGCTAATTCCCTCCAATTAGTTTTGAAGAGCTGCATTCAAAAAGGATTACTTTTTACTTCCCCATTCCCTCTCTTCTGGCTGATTATGGAGAGGAAAGAATTTGCCACAATACTGTTGTGGTAGAGGGGTAATGAGAAATGCCTGGCTTCTGATCTTGCTGCAGCTGCTCCTAGTGGGGAGCGAAGAGGAGCCAGGATGGTCTTGATAGAACTATCTGAGGCTGGAAGTGAAGATAGGGCCTTCCAGGGGCCCTTTACAGCTGCCAGTGTCCTCTGCAACTGGGGATGAAGAAAGGCTCTGTTACCACTTCCTGAGGTGAAACGAAGGGGGTTGGTAGGGACTTTTGCCAGGTAGGCTCTCTCCAATTATAGTGAAACTGTTTATAGTGAAGATATTTTTGTGAAGGGGAAAAGCACTTCATTATCAAAGGGCTCCCTTGTACTGCAATTGAAAGCAAGACACTGTATTAAAGAATTATACTAAAACCATCTTTTAACTTCCTGCAGGGTGCCATGCCTTGATTTGGGCAAGCTGGGATCTTCAGATGAAGAGGTAATCATGAGTTAGCATTATGTGAAAAGTTTGCAGAAATTTGTCAAGTCAAAAGATTTATTTTGACTATGAAATAAGTACAAATAATCTTGTTCTCTTTGTATTTTAGGATGGAGATTCTTACATACCATACAGTAAGAGGTTTCCTCGCATTGGCCCTCCAGATTCATCTTCAACTGTTAGTTGGGGTTCACCATTACAGACTCCTTATGCACAGCATCATCAGACACAACAGGTTAGTTTGCCATTACTGATATCTTAAAAATACTGTCTTTCATGAGAATTGAAGCAAATAAAGCACATCTAATTTCATTACACAATTTAGTTCTTTCCATTTGTGTGATTAAATTAAAAGATAGGAGAGTATTATTGGTCAAAGTGCTTTCTAATGAAAGTTTTTTTTTTTTGCTAGGAAGCTCTTCAGAAATTTCAAATTCTATTTCTTCATCACAGTAACTATTTATTGTAGACTGTTGATTTATACACTAATTCTTTTAATTTTGCCTACTGACAATTTGTACACTAGTGGTCACTATTGTTAGTAACAATTTGTGAAAGCATCTGAAAATTATGATTGCATTAAGGTAGCATATAACTTTGATTTCTAATTCTCAGCAAATCTTAAGAAAATTGTGAAAATCAGAAAATAATAA